TGTTATTGCAGATTCTGCTCCTGTCATTTTTAACGTTCACAGTCTGACCGGAGCTGCTGCAGCTATGTTGATAAATAAATAAATAAATAAATAAATAAATAAATAAATAAAAACCAAGCTTGAAGCTGCAGTGTGGGGGTGTCTGCTTATCAGGACACAAGGACACTGATACCACTTTAGCTAAGACAGACAGACAGACTGACAGACAGACAGACAGACAGCTGTCGATCGAAATGTGGAATGTACGCCTACATGTATGCATGCCACACAGCTTGTTTAAGTGCGCGAATGCAAAAGCACACATGTATGTGTGTGTGTGTGTGTGTGTGTATGTGTGTGTGTGTGTGTGTGTGTGTGCGTGTGCACATGCTGGGTATTCAGCATGAGAGGCGTCACAGAGAATCCCAGCTTTGGAGTCATAGTCTTACGTTGGGGTTGGGGAGGGGGAGCAGCTTTGGGGAGGGGAGGTGTGCCCTTGCGGTTACCATTGGGGGGGCATCGCTGCGGTGCGGGTGTGGAGGTGGATCAGATGGACGATCAAACACCAATCATTCCCCCACGGCCCATCCAGTGTAAAGCTGTCATTAATTCTGTGGAATTACATCAAATCTGGGACATTCTTTATGCGGCCTGCACCCAGGAGACAGTTATACGGCAGGCCTCGCTTCGCTAAGCAGATGGACTAGCTTGGCTGTGCATACTAAATAGCCTCATCTCTCGCTCCCAGCCTGCGGCAGCCTCCTGCACTACCCCACTCGCTCTCTCTCGCCCACTCTCTGTCTCTCTCTCTCTCTCTTTCTCTCTCCACCCCTCTTCCACCCCCTCTCCCTTCCCGTCTCGCTTAACTCAGTCCCGTTCGGCCCCGTCCTTGCCGTCCATCCCTCTCTCATGGTCACGGCCTTCACACACCTTCACTGTCACATCCGTCGTTCAAAGCACCTGACATCATTTTTCACTCCGCCGTGCCCGTCTGTAATCACCGGCCCCTACGAGCTCATTCCTAAGTGACAGGTCCGCTGGTCACTAAAGTCAACCTGTGTCCATCAACCTTCTAATTCAGTTATCAGGCTCTAAATTAATCAGTGGCAAATAAACCTCTGACATCCTGGCAGCGGCAGCCGTTCCGGAGGGTGTGATCTCGCTGTAATTATTATGATGTCACGGGCGTGTGCTAAAACCCATGCCGCAGTGTCACCTCCCCTCACATTCTCACTTCACTGTCAAACATGTGGAGAACCAGGACTGCAAGAACATTCGTCACTCCCACTTTCCTGGCTTTTAAGTGGTTGTCCCAAACCCCACAAAAAAACCACACGGGTGTATAATTACTGCTCATGTCAAATCAACAAACCTGAAGATTCCTAAGAATCTTAACCAATGGGGGGGGGGGGGGTGACAGGTGTCACTGGTGCACAATAGCTAAAAAAGTTACGTCTCCTTTAGCTACAGACTAAATTTTTAAGGAATAAAAATTTTTAACTTTAAGTTCTGGGACTTGAATGAATCCAGAAAAACCTCCAGTACAGTAAAATCTTGTTAAGATAAAAAGTTATACATATATAAAATAAGAAATATAATAATAAAATAATAAGTACATTTCAATACATTAAAAAATCTGTTGAATAATAAAACATTAAAATGGAAATATTCTTCTTTACTTTTCGAGTCTGTAATGAAATGGGACACGTCTGACCCCGTTTGTGGGATTTCCTACAGAATTTGGAAAGGGGGGGGAAGCTCTCTGCAGGCAAGAGCAAGAATGTGGGCAGACACATCCCAGGAGGCCGGGAGGTGCACGAGAGGCGACACGTCCGCCTTCCCCCACACTCCCAGTTCCGAAGCCATGCAGCCACGGCGAGAGCCACATCAGCCGCATTAACCACAGCAGCGCTGTTTTACTGCAGTCGCGCTTCTGCAGGAACTATCACTCAGACAGCGGGCCGGTCTGAATTCCAAGCCACCCACCATGTCTGAGTGAGGAAGGCTCAGGATCAAAGGCCCAGGTGGCTGAGATCGCCGCTTGTAAACATCCCCCCGGAGGCTCTTTCGGAGTAACGTTTCTTAGGTGACACACTGAAATGGTTCGTTCTGTCGGTGGGATAGATCTGTTGGGTTTCTCTCTTAAACGCACTGAGCCACCATTCCCCCCAGGTAACAATAGCAGATATCTCTTAAAATTCCCAAACTATGGCTGTTTGTAGTAAGATGTATCATTGTCTTCTATTCAAAAGTATTTCCATTTTCACAGTATTAAAGTCAAGAATAAACATTACTGTGTAATTTTTTTTAAATTTGCAGTCTTGAGCAAGTATTTTTACAAATATTGCTTTCACAGCCACGAACACATCTTTCAGCTAAATATGTCTGTGTTAAAATCATGATAACCACAAAATCTTATCATGTGAGACAATGAAAAATAGTGGGTTCTCCAAACCACTGTTTGGATCAACAGTAAAAACGAAACACTTGCATGTGTTTTGCTGCAAAGTCCTCTAAGAATTTGAAAAGTTGGTCTTAACTTACACATTGTTCTAGGAAGATACTGTGAAGCAGAAGCCATGACAGTCTCCACAAGCGCCAGAAAGACACCCTTTCTCGACAAAGGTGGTAGATGTGTGTGTGGGGCCCAGCAAGATGAGCGGTAGTGAGACGACTCTGTCTACAAGAGCATTAAACTTGAGAAAAGCCAAGAACATTCGATCATTTTTCAGTTTTTAACATCACCTCTGACCTGCATAAAAATAGACCAAATGATCCAGATAATAGGCTGAACAAGCACTAAGATGTTATGGATAAATGACCAATTCTGATATGCAGAACTAACATTTTTATCATTTCAACAACATGCGTATTTTCCTTAGGACAGGCCTGTCATACAGTGTGTTTCTGGATGTCCATGTCAGTGCTCCTTCTGCTAGCGTCGTTGTCACTGGAAGGGATGATGTCATCATTTGTTCTCTTCCAGTTCTTCAGTATGCTTAAAAATCTGATTCATCCTAACACAGACGCCCAGATTCTCTGAGGTAATTGGTGGAGGTTCGATGGAGTTTTTCAGTTTTTAAATGTTATCAGGAAGTTTGTTTCACTGCTGCTGCTGGTAACTTCCAGTGAGAAGCAGGAATTAGCAAACCTCCACCGACAGGTGACACCAACATGGACATCATCCAGATTTCATTAGTAATTGTCATGGCTTTCGTACCCCACCAGTACTTTCCCTGTTTCAGCTCATCCAATTTTATTCATTATCCTTTACGCTTTGATTTTGATCGTATTGAAATAGAAATCTGCTGAGTGCAGCATTTGGAAACCATAAATAGTAATTTTAATGTTACATGTCTTCGACAAAAATTCCGCACAGTCTACAGATTCCAAAACGAAAAGACAGAATAAGCCCAAACCAAGACTTTAAGCAGCTTTGTACTCCATTCCAACAGAATGCATTTAATGTGGAAGAAGACAATGATCCTTGCTGTTCTTTAATAGCTTCTGGCCTCGGGGTTCTTGGCTTGTAAGGGGTAGGGTTGTGTGGACGTTAAGGACAGAGGAAGTTGGCTCCCTGCTAACTGATGGATAAACTGAGCTAAGGGAGGGACATGAGACCAACATTTTTCACAAGTACTCCCTGCTCTCGCGTTGATGCGAAGGAGCGTTTTAATTATCTAATTAGGTTGGGCGATGCTGAGCTAGCACCATCCAAACTAGGTCTGAACCCTAGTCTTTACGACAAGAGCTACGGGATCTATGAACAGCCATGTTCATAATTAAATATCTTACCCTAAAGTACAAGGTCACGCATAAGTACACTGGGTCAGTGTTTATTGCCTTACCAAGCATGCGCCTCCCCGGTGAGTTTTGGGGGCTTCCGGAACCCCAGCAATACCATTTTCATTGAAATATTAATCACATCCATTGAATTTTAACCAGAAGCATGTCCTGCATTTGTGCTTGAAATCATACTTAACAGAGTACTAACTCATTCTGATATCTTTATACCTTCTATTATCCATTGCTAGCCGTTGTTAAATTATATTACACGTATTACAAAAATACAAAATATACAGTGTGACATTATGAGCTAATTATTCAGACTGAGGCTGCTTATCTCCACATGCAGTTAAATTATAACTTGAAAAAAGATATGTCACATTAGGGAAAGGCGGTCCTCAGCCTTTACGTCCATCCTGAGCAGGCCTTACTGATATCTCAAAAACAAGAAACACTGCCATCTGCTGTCTTAAGGCAGCAACTGTCACTGCAAAGACCAAAGCACGTGAACAGAGTATATTTCACATCATAATGCAAGGTTCTCACTTATTCAGTCAACCATCTCTTGGCAAAATAATGTCAGTCATGCAAATACTACTGGAAAAATGTAAACACAGATTTCCTCACTAGTTTAATAATGGCATCCTGCCACTGCAGCCTTTGGTTACATCAAATTAGGACCTGTCTGGCTTCTTCACTAGAATTTTGCCATTGTTTTACTCAGGGTCAGCAGTCACCTGATAACATTTGCACGACAAAAATACAGCATGCCCTGGTAGAAGGACTCAGCATTAAGGCTTGTGTATGTGACTGGCTGGTACACTGAACAGACTCCTCTCATAACCATTGATAAATGATACTCCTGTCCCAGGAGAGCACTAGGATATGGAACTCAGCCTGCAGTGGAGACACAGCTGTTTATTTGGTCACTGTGTTTTCTGTTGATACTCCATAATGGTGAAAGCACAGGGGACTGGAGAATCAGAGACCCAGTAAGGTCACATCACTGTATAAAAGTTCATTGGTGGACTTGTCAGAACTTGTCTGCACCTGTTTCTAGGTACAATGTTTTATATCTGAGCATAAATAAGGGCTTTAAATCAAGGACTGAATGAAACTTTCTGAAGAACAGCTGACACCAGTGGTGTTTTTATTCAAACATATGTGTTATAC